TAAATATACCCAAAATATTTAATTATAGCACTGAAATATTATTTAAATACAAGTTCTATTATATTTTTCTAATTTTTAGATATTTTATGTATTATAGGGGAAACTTCTGATGAGCACACAGTATTTTATGATTAATAAATAGAAATGCATGTTCATATATACACTGTAATATATCACATAACTATTTACAACAATAATATTTTAATTTATTTAAATACACATATATAGAGAAATATTTATACTCTGCAAACTTATTTTTCATATACATGCATATATACCACGGACACTCTATGTAAAAATAAATGTCATATATATTTGTTATTTAAATAATAATAACAATAACAACTAATTGTTCAATATCCATAAATTAAAATATAATAGGATGGCATTCCAAAGAGACATCTTGTAAAAAATATCTACAATACAGCCAATTGATATCCTTCGTCTCTGAATATTGTATTTGAATGATTGCATTGCGTTTATGATCTCTAGAACAAAACAACTATGTCAATACAAAACATATATGTATGTATATGATAATTATTACAAATAAAATATAACGACGTTTGTTTTTCCTCATAAACAATTTCATGCAAATTTGGAGTGTTTTATTTCAATAAAATTAAGGCGGAATCTTGGTACAATTATACAAGGCAGGGTATGTTTTGTCAACAAAGAGGAAATACATCTCTACGCTGGGCTATAATGTCAGAATAAATAAAAACAAATGCAACAAGTGATTCTAGTACGTTTACATTTAACCGGATTTCGTTAACCCAGTGGGTTTCAATTGTCAATTCCTTTGCATATATGCCAAATAAATCCTCATAAAGCAGGTTAACCCGGTAAAAAATAATGTATATGCCGTTTTCTGTTGATTTGACATATAAGTTGTGTCTGTTTACTCGATATTTGGTAACAATTGTTACTAAATGTTGTCTGTTTACCCAAAAATCCAGTAAAAGAGAGTCAAGTAAGAGAGCAAGTTTGACAGTTCAACAACAACAAACTTACTGGAGTTTACTGAAAGAATTTTATGCAGTAAGATTTTGCAAACTCTGCCATTTTTTGGATCAGATGTTTTATGACCAAACACAAAAATTATTCAAAACAGTTTTTTTTTAATTTGAAATGAATTTGTATAAAAATTACGGAAAAGGGAAAAAATTCGTAATTAATGTAAAGTTTCATTAAATTAGAAACTAATTCTTTGTATTTTTAGGCAAGTTTCAGAACGAGGGCAATGCATTGATGTAGGAAGCTTAAATGTTCCCGGAGAAAAGTACCAAATCAATTTTTCTTTTATTTTTCATTTTATTTTTAATATTAAATGCAATACAAATAATTGGGTTCGTCCTTTGTTGGTTTGTTTATTTTGGCGCAAATAAAAATATTTTCTTGAATCCGCTGATTATTTGCTGAATCTTATTAAATGTTGTTTGTTTACTTTTCTCAGTATTATCGCAAAACATTTTCAAAGCATTACACACACAGTCACACATTCTTATATGACTTTGGCATAACAAGCCACAAAATGAATATATAATAACATTTCTTGTCGAGTTTGAATTGTAAAATAGCTATGAATCAATATATTTGGTTTTTTACAAATAAAGTTCCATATATTTCAAATAAATTTTATTTTTAATTTAACGGGCGATTACCAAATACAACACTATTTTGACAGAACATCTAAAATGATATGGCAACACTTTTTCGAAATACAAATACATATCAGCTGATTAAGGCATCCATCAACGTCGTATGTACTACATATTTTTAAATACCAGAATACAACAGGAAATATATATCTAAAAGAAAAGAAAGAATATTAAAAAGGCATACACAAGTTTGAAATCAGAAAGTAAAAGACGTACGTTACGTACTAATTTTGATATTCGAACTTTTTTCCTATATGAGGATATATTTCACATATATTGAAAGGAATTGATATTTGAAACCACTTGTTTTACTAAATATAGTGCAATGAATGGTATAATTATCGCGTTTATATTAAGGTATTTAAATTATATAAAATTGATTTGTCGCTTGTCTTTTTTTTACATACACATTTCTCTGTTTTAAAAATTGTTCTCCAGACTTACCCGATTTTAAAATTTAGCACTGAAACTCATGCACACAGTTGTCTGCGTTTGCCATTTCTTGTGTTTCGTTCAATCTGCAGTTGGCTGCAGGTGTAAAGTAATTACAGACATTTGAAATCGAGAGGAATTCGTACATCTAAATGCACTTATACTTGTTGTTCGTCTCTCCAAAGCAAATATTTGACACAAATTTGTTTTATTTTGTTTGTCGGAAAAATGTTCAATTTGAACACTATTGATTTTGTGTTCGTATTGCACACAAATATTTGACAAATCTTGTTTGCTGAAACAGAAAGGAAATAGTGTCAAACAACGTAAAAAAACATATTTGATGTGTGATCACATTTGAAAACATTTTTTTTTTCTAAAAAACCAAATTTATCTAGATCTAGACATGTGTGTCCGTCCGTCTGTCCATTATAATTTGTAAACACGATACAGGCCACAGTTATGGACCAATCTTCACGAAATTTTGCATGTAGGATGGGTTCTGGCCAATGTAGACCCCTATTGTTTCTGGTAAAATCGATTAATATTTAGGGGATGAAATGGACCAAATACTTAATTTTTGTCGGTTTTTCTGGTCGCTCCAGAGGTCGCAATTATGGTCCGAACATGGTGAAATTTTACATGGAGAATGGGATCGAGTCAAAGATTGAGCATGCCTGTTTTGATAAAGATCAGTCAATATTTAGCGGGTCAAATGGACCCTGACTTTTGTGTGAAAAATGACAAAATTTGTATTATATGGCGTATATATTTACACCTGAAGGACATAGAGCCGAGAAGTTTATAGTATATCCAAGAGGAGTGTCTGACCTTTAAATTATATTGTCGTATGTTCTCGGATGTGGGAGTTACACTTAAATATTTAGTAACCCACAGATATTATTTAGTAACCCATTACCATACTAGAAGTCGGAAATATAACGCTGATCGATTTGATATTTTCCATGAGGTTCAAAGTATGGTCAAGGACAACGCCTATAATGTTCGGTGATGATCAGATAATAATTTTGGGATGAAGTGGACCGAAAACTTATTGTTTTGGGGTTTTTTTGAGTCGATTTAAAGGCCACAATTATAAGCCGAACATCACGACACAACCCACGTTGAAGGGAATCTGAACAATTAATTAGAAGGACTATACTGAATATTAGTAATATTTGGAAAATATGTCATTGTAAGGAAGAGGTGCTGTTGACTTCTCATTGGGCATGAGGTTGTAACTACCACGAAATTTTGTCCAGGCTAGGAATAAAAATTCAAAGAAAGCTAGAGTTCCGTGGTAGTTGTGTAGGGTATCGTATGGTCGTCCCCGTCCGACTATACTGCTCTGCTCACTGGTTTTTATTTCTGTTGTGTATTTTATAAATTATTTTCAAGATATTGTGGTTTTCTCTTTGAAAACTAAATTTTACATTATGTGCGAGGGGGTGTTCGAAACATCGATAACCCAAATTTTAGTTAAATGTGGCCAGAACTCTACATACCCTTCTCCAAATTAAACAAATAATTTCAAAAATGCCGTTAAGGTCGGCCGGACCGACCGTTAGGCGGACATTCAAAATACCTATGCGTGCTATGCCATGAAATGCCAAAATAAAAACAATCAAGTTGAAAAATTGAATACCTTCAATATTCTCGGTATATATTCCCACTAAAAACATAGCTGAAATACTCAAAATACCAAGAATTTTGGGGTTACTATAAACTAAATATAGACTAATAATTTGGTAATATGAAAAACCTGCCCAACATTTCCAAAATACCGAAAATGTGGCTAAAAAGCAGAGGTCATGATATTGACTCCTATTGACAACTTTTTATATAAATGTATCTCTCCCTCCAAGCATTCGGAATCCATTTAGTTGGAAAACACATTTAAAAATATCAAAATACAATATATTGCGATCGGACAAAGTAATCCATATGCAATACCAAACATTCTAGGAGTAATTGGGAAAATATACAAATTATTCGGACCTCTTATTTTCCTTTGTTTCCTCTTAGAAAGGACAAATAAATGTTAAATGGTATTTACGTTAGAACTTTGTTACCTTGTAATAATTATACCGGTACCCATGCTATAATTATTACAAGTTAGGGCCCATGGTTTAATTATTACAAGGTGTTTTGAATATTATGTCAAATAAATTGAAATATATTCAAGCTTAATTGAAATGAAAATGATGTTTTTAAGACGTTCGTCTAGAAGTAATTACTTTGTTATGGATGAAACAAACATTTTCTGGTATATACACAATGGAATGGTCAATTTAAGCCTACTGGGTTAACGAAATCCGGTACTATTAGCCCGAAAACCAGCAAATACTTGCCTTTAGGTGCTCACATTTTGTGCACATTGCTTAATTTCTCGGCTGATTTTGTGTTTGCCATTGAAAATATTTTGTAGTCTGATATGGAAAAGAATTATTTGAAATTATTCGGCAAATATTTTTGTAATATGATTTTACTCTAACAAATCATGCATAACAACTAATATTTAACAAATATTTTTTTCATATGTTCTATAATTTTTAAAAGTGTAGTTTTTAACAAAAACAGACTCAGTTGTCATCACTTTACTCTAACAAATCATGCATAACAACTAATATTTAACAAATATTTTTTTCATAAGTTCTATAATTTTTAAAAGTCTAGTTTTTAACAAAAACAGACTCAGTTGTCATCACTTATAACTTTTCGTTCGTTTTAGTGGATAGGTTGGCAATTCTAGTTCTGTGTATCATCTCGATCTACAAATCCCTTAGCTTAACCTATAACAACAGCTGTAGCAAAACATTGCAAAAAAGGCGCCGGTATCAAGAATGCCCAGCTTCTGTTTACAACTAAATAAAATCTCTACGTAAATAAATAAAACAGGAAAAAACCATGAATTGTATGAATGCATATTGGTAAGTAAGCAGCATATAATTTATATTTTGATTTGTACTAAACCTTAACATTTTTAGTTCCCCACAGAAGCAGAACTCAATAGTGGAACGTGGTTTGGATCTGAGGCTGCAGGCATCAAAAGCCAAATACTATTTGAAATGGGGCTCCATTAATGTCATTCTCTTGGCCATACTACTCTTTGATATATCGAACAAGTGTCCATATGCCGAATCGAATTGGTATTATGTGGAATATGCAGCTGCTGGATTGGTCGGATTGAGTGTTTTGGCATGTTTCTGCAAATATTTCCTATACGTATTTCATACACAACCAGTGCAGGGGACACAACAGCAAAAAAATCTTTTAAAATTTGACGATAATGGTAGAAGGGGGAATATTAATGAAAATATTTGAACTTTTACTGATTTTTATTTCAATTATCATTTCAGACAATTCATTTGTTACCAGTAATCCAAATAAAAAGAAACCAGTTGACCAGGAACGTAATGAAGCTCCCAATAATACAATTCTTAGTTGGCACTCCTCGTTCAATGAATGTAAGTTATCCAAAAAAAAAAGATATTTTAATTACAAGGAAACCATTTCGAAATTAATTTTTCGTTTACAGCTCGTGGTCCCAACTCACCAAATTGGAGCTATAGTCGGACAACACCACCGCGACAAAGTCTAAGTCCTCAACCGCAACAGCACAATGCCTCATGGAATTCATCAATGTACAATAATTCAACAATGAATGCCAGTACAGTTAGCAGTAATTTGTCATTTTCATCGCCCTATCAAAAATACGAACGCGATGAATTAATTACCGATGAAGTTAGTTTGCATCGATATCTGAAGTATGTTATATATTCTATATTTATTTCGATTAATACATTTTTGATTTTTTCCTTTCCCAGGGATGTGTCTCGTAAAGAATACAGCACAACGGAAATTACGGATATAAATCCAGCTTTTAATGCGGGTTCAATTAACTCATTTTGGAACTATTGCAATTCTGCTGCAAATCTTTTACGGACTTCGTTATATCAATTGGCACCATCACCAGGTAATGCAAATGTATATAAGTATATATGGGGGATTTTGTATGGAGGGTATAATTATTTTATCATGGGTGGAAAGTCATATAAAAAATTGCCCAAACGCCACTAAAATTGTTAGTATCGGTCCGCTTTTTGATGTTTTTTAGAGTTTTGAGCTTTAAGAAATATCTTCTTGAAAAAAAAATGGTCGGTATTGGTCTATCTCCTGTATAATTAATTTGCAATTTGGAAAAAATTTTAATCGCAGAAATTTAGCTTACAAGGTTTCCTAAGAAAAAATGTTTGAGGTTTGAGATTTCATTAGAAAATGTCAGTTTATATATGGTAGGCGGTTAAAAAGATCGCCACGGCCGAACTTGAAACCTTTTACAGTTGTTAATATACACTTTATATGAATATTTATGGTAGTTGATGAAATTTAAACAAGCGTCAATTAGTGCCGGAATTCCCTTACCTGTGGTAACAATTTGTGTTCGATACCAATCCATCTCTTATATTAAACCAATGTAAGGAGGTAGATACGTGTATGTCCTAATACAGATTAGGTAAGCTTAAAGCCTATAAAGTTGTATTCCAAGCGATAATCGAGACTTGCAATTATTGTAAGCAGGACTATGCGTCTAATGTGGACCACCCCTCTTATCTAACAAAATACTTGAAATATGTCAATGCCGCCTTGATAAATGTTTTCCCAATTAGTGAAAACAAGCATCAAACTTGGTTTTTAATAAATAATAGCAATTCTGAAAATGTAGTAGTAAAAAATGTAGCTCTGATTGTAAAAGTGTGATTTGAACATTTTTAGAACAATAGTAGAACGTTTTTGCAAAATAGTCGAACACTCGAATATAAAGTTTTTAAAGTTTTTCTCGAATATAAAGAAGTTATGGTTTTCTTGGCTTCTTTAACAAAAATATACGTTTACGCTGTAATTACAATCGGTGATATTTAATTTCTATTCATTTTTGAAGCCGATAATTATTTTTAAATACAAATATTCAATGTCGAGTAATGTGGACCACTATAAAAATTGGGACCTTTACATGAGGACGAGTTCGAAACATGGGCGCATTTCATATGCGAGGAGGTATTCTATCCTCTGAAAACTCGATATGCCAAATTTCAGGTGCTTCGGTTGGATAACGAAGCAAGGACCTTCAAAATACCGCAAATGGGGCGGTAGCCTTAATGGGGGCTATTCCAAAACATGAACCCATATATTTTTGCATTCATTATTACCCAACAGTGCAATAAATTTAAATTTATCACAACCAATCCACATCCTACCTTTGACTTACTGATCCTCGTTACCCACACATACTGGTCCACCTTACCCGCCTAGTAATTTTTTTACGAAGTTTAGAGTTTTTTGAAATATAATATTTTTATAGACAAATATATATAATATTTGACAACAAATCTACTAAGTTCTGAAAACAATTTGTTTTTATTTTTAACCGTTGTTATGACCACAATATTAAAAAAAGAAAATGGTGGTCCACATTACCCGAAGTTACTCTACTACTTGAAAATCATGTTGAATTAGGATTTGTAAATTGTTCGTTTGGACCAGTATCCATCTGGGCATGAATTCTCTCCTTACGTACATGAATCCTACATATACAACTGTGATTTGGATGATTCCGGAGTTAATCCGACATTGATGAAGCATGGTTGAATAAGGTTTTTACTTAAGAATTCATCTTTTCGGATTGACTGAATGGGGTTTTAAATAGGAAAATATCTATTCATCTAGCTGAATAAGTTTTTCAGCCCGTCTGAATGAGGTTTTCTGTAAGTAAGCTTCTTTTCCGGCTGACTAAATTGGAAAACATACATTCAGCCAATCTATATGAGGTTTTCTGTTGGATAACAAATGTAGATTAAGTTTTCTATAGCAAAACATGTTATCGGACCGATTGAATGTGGCCCTCTAAAGCAAACATCATTACATAATTTACTCAGACTGGCAAAACGTAGCCTGATATACTCGGTCTAAAGATAATCCATAGGAAAACATCTATTCAGTCATCTATTGGTTGAATTTGGTTTCTATATTCTATATGAAAAGAACTATTCCGCCTGTCTAAATGAGTTTTTCGTAGGAAAATATCTATTCAGACAGGCTCGTTTGCGCTTTGTATTGGAAAACCTCTACTCTGGCTAGCTCAATAAAGTTTTTCTATAGTAAACAAATATGTTCAGCCTGCTTGAATATACATATATACTGAATATACAGGAATACATATATTCAGCTTGTCTGAATAAGGTTTGTTTTATATGACACCTTCTATTCTGCTGGCCTGGTCGTATAATATATATTATATCATTTCTGCAAAACCAAATTTAATGAAATAATATTTAATTCCTACAATACCCTTGGATATTTAATTCGTACATCCCATAAACTATAAACAAAAAATTAACTTGAGATATATTGTCGACAGCTCATTTGTTAATATACAATAATATTATCCCGGCAAATTTCAGCATGCGTGATTTCTCAAAGACAATACAACTTGTGATTTTCATACATTTCAATGTTTTTTGTTTGTTTTCCAGCTCCAGCAACACAAAATAAACAAACGTCCAAAGAAGAAGGTGGTCTTAATATCATTGATAGCAACTCGGAAGTCATCAAGCGTATTTCGTCAGAGAAACTTGCCCAATATGTGGGTAATTTACGTACGGTATGTATTGCTGCTGTGGTTCTTACTATTGTCCTTTCGTAGACTTTCATTTACAATTTCGAGTTTTTATTATTCCTTCAACGAAACTTTTGAACATCTGTGTTTATGCAGTGGATTTCGTTTACCATATTGCAACGTTTGACGAAGGAGATGGAACACATCGATGTATCATTTAAACAGCGTGGCTTGCATGATATGCAAATTGGTAGCATTGGCTTGGAACGGCTAAAGAAAACAGTCGAAAATCAACAATTTGTAACACAATATATGCCAATGTTGCCAATGGTGGTGCCATTTTTAGAAATGTCAAGCAATCAGGAATATTTGGTTCAGCGTATAAAGGGTAAGCAGAAAGTTGTGGACCATTAAATATTCTTGAAAACACAAATATCAATGTGACTCTTGTTTAACAGATTTAGCAAGAGGTTCTTGCATTGCTGACTATCGTTGGAATTCGGGATCAGAATATCACGGCCTTAAGTGGGACGAACATTTACCAACTGATTCGGCGGTATGTTAATTGTGATATAGACTGTTACATTTAGTGTGCACCATAAAATAGTATTTTTTTCCAATTTATGTTAATGTTGCTTTGTCTGGTTGTTTTCACTCTTTCTTTCTTGCAGATACTTTTCCATTTGTTCTGTGTCTATTTAGATTCCCAACTTATGCCCTTGCCTCAGGGCGGTGGTCGTCCTTTTTATAGCCGCTATGTTATTATTGGCGAAGAAAAACGTTCAGCCAAAGACACTGTGGCCATGGTACAAAACAAGGCTCGTTGTGCCATCCTCTGTTCGAATCCTTTAAAGCCCAAATTCAATTTCATCAGCGATGGTGAAATACACAATTGTGCCTATGACCGCAATAATCTCTTCTATGTTATTATCCAATTTCTGATTTATATGCGCACACATCAGGAAAGTTGTTTGGAGGGCGTTAATCTTGGTAAGAGCGGCATTAACATAATGTGTGTCATCGAAGACTGAGGGAGTAGTTGTGGTTGATTGGGTGGTGTCTGGCTGGCATCATCACTCTAACTTTAGTTATAGTTTTCGTTTTTATTTTGATACATCTGTTTTATTAGTCATATCATCATCATAACAATATCCATATATTTTGTATACTACTATTTTATTTTATTTTAATAACATAATAACAAAAACAACAACATTACTAATAATATTACAATTTCAATAAACAAACAAAAAAATCAAGTTTATAAAGAAATAAGATATATGCGTGCTATCAGCCATTGTTCAAGGGAATGTGCCAAGTTTATTGGTTTGTGGCCATGTGATCAATTCTTGTTACGAAGTCGTATTAAGAGTTGATAGACGTTCAGAGGGCGTTCACCAAGTGAGTAGGACAATCCCGATTATAAATTGTGTTTCTACTCCAACCGATGATATTTAATGAAATGAATCACCTTCATCTACGAAAGTTTGCAGATCAATTAATTTGGAATATATAGAAGTTTGTTCGTCCGGTCCGAAATTTTTTATAATCTTCTTAAATCGGGTAGATTAAAAACCAAATTGTAGACACTCACGGCTTAGATTGCATTTTTTCGGAGAAGAACTTCATTATTGACCAAAAATCCGAAGTGATGGGAAAATGCATTTTTTAAAATATCGAAATGGGGGTTTCGTATGGGGGCAATTTAAAACACATACCTATATCGGAAACATATTGCAAATATGTTTTACAACCTCCGTGGACCGAGTAAGCAAAATTACAGCCATTTTCTTGGTAAAGATATTCCGAAGGCCGAATGGTGCGGACCTTCCTATTGGGAGTTTTGATCAAATTTGTTCATAGGCGACATAGATATAGCTTCGATGAAACACAAAAGACACCACATTAAGGTATTTTTGATAAAAATAAATAAATAAAATTTGTGAATTTAGGTTATACTTTTTACATAGCCCCAAAATACCTACTGTTTTAACCCACCCTTCTTTCGGGGCTTAGGCGACATTTCAATCAATTGATTGTGTCTATAAATTTTGTATATGGTTGTCTGAGCTGCTACAGGTATGCCCTGGAGAATTGAGCTAAAATCTCACTCCCAGAACATTATTCTTGTGTGTATAATCTCTTAAGATCTACTAGGTTTTCTAATGAGGGTATTTACACCGCAAAAATGTGCATTATTGAAATATTGGTTTTAGACCAAATCCGTTTCAGACAATTTGGAATATATTTACAAAGGTCCGTCCGTCTGGCTCTCAAATGTAGTAACCAATTTAATCTAAACTTTGCACTTCGAAATATTTCTTCGTATTTTTGCCAAATCTAAATTAAGTTCAAAGATGGGACCCATTGGTCCATTCCATCTGGTACCTACCTCACGAAAGGTCAACATTTGTATAATTAATTAAATAACAAAAGTATAGAATTTCCGATTTGATACAAAATACGTACATCGTAATAAAACTCAAATGTCATTTCAAGTTCGAACATGGGATCCATTAGTCAACGTCTGGTACCTCCCACACAAAATGGTTAACATTTTGCTGAAAATTTAATTTGAAGAGGATTGAATAATCGATTTAATTCATTAGCACATCGTAATATTTTACCAAATACCTACTTTAAATCCGAAGATAGGGTCTATAGGGCAACCTTTTCTTGTACTTTTCCAGAGATTGTCACTCCCTTAATAGGATGGACCACTATTGAAATTGGTGAAAATCGTTACAGTTTTAGATATGATCATCATATAAATTGTCTCAGATTTTATGTAAATTATGACACAACATCTTTCCGATTGTGTGGCACATTTCCAAAGTATTACCTTAGGGACTTACGTATTATCCATTAATCTATTTCTTATCGAAAAAATATCAATTTCCACCAACATAAAAAGTCATGCTCTTAAATCAGTTGTGTGTTATAAGCGGATTACCTTGAGTTAGTCAATAAATATGCCATAGATTTGCCATATTCCGGATGTTCTAAATTGCGTCTTTTCCTTCTGCAATGACACACAAAGTATTAGCTGTGATTATATGTTAGTATATGTGTATTTAGCCCCGCACCTCTTTGCCTAGCGTAATTTATGACTTTACTCAATCCAGCGACAACATTATGTCCATAGTTGGCGGGACAATATCTATGCCTTGGCTTTGGCTGCTTCTTAGCTGCTACGTAAACTTTTAATTAAACGGATTTGCCTGATTTATCTGGCAAAGCCGAGACGCATGTTGTGTCCATTAATTGTTTTATGTTTTATAGGATGTTTTTATGTCCGATGTTGCTGCTTCTGCCGCTCCTGTTGTTATTGTAGTACATAGTGCTAGTTGACTGTTGTGGTTATTGTGGATGGAATTAATGCCATTATACAGTGGTGGTTGCGGTGTCGGTAGTGTTCGGTGCTAAGTTCCTAATTCTGGGAAACGCATTTACGGCCATTCAACAACATACAACAGCAACCACTAACGCCACCTACTTACAGTTGGAAAGCACACACACCCAAACGAACAGTAACCCAGTAAATACGAATGCTCGGCAAGATAGTAGTTTGTGGTATTCCAGCGTCAGTGGCGGTGATTTGTGGACAGTGACACTAACAACAATAGGAACCTGAAACGAAAGTACTCTGCTGTGGAACAATGCTTAATGGACACGTCTTTGATAAAGGTGTTGGATAAAAATGTTTTTTTTTGTTTACATAGCTGAGATTGCAACAATGAAAATAGCAACAACAAAGACATCAATAAAGAAATAAGTTGTAAGCCTTCGTTCGTTCGATGCTAAGAGAATGGATATATTATTTTTTGTCGTTTCTTTCAGTGCGGAATATGTATATCCTTGTAGCTAAAATTATGAAAAGGAATGAAACCAGAAATAAAGAGTAGTTGCCATGTTCGCTGCATTGCTACAATGAAATAAGGCCAAAATAGCAACTGCTGGTCATTATGTCTATTACGCTTTATGGACTTTTTTTACGGAATTAGTGTATATTTTCGAACGTATGGTAAAAAAACATGCATTAATTCGGTTAAAACACGAAATAATAATAACAATAACTTAAAAGTATTGTCGGACGGGACCGACCATGAAGTAACCTACAAAACTACCATTGGACTAAAAAATTCTGCGGAGTTAATTCCCGGCAAAACGTCGTGTTACTCGAATATTACATATTTCAAACTGAGTTCCTGAAGGATGAAAAACGTCTTTGAATATTTGGCTGTTATTTGACATTCTGGGTTCTTGAAGGGTAAACAACTTTTTTAAGATTATTTTCGGTATTTTGAATGTTTTATCCGCACCGTTCTATCCGTTATTAGCATATGTAGGAAATATTTAAACATGTATTAACATATTGTTACGAATATAACTTTAGATTTAAGTTAATTTAGATGAATTCCGTTAATTTAAGAATTTGAATTGTAACGTAAATTTCTACTACGCAGTTTATTTGAATAACTTCACAACAACAACTACTGTATAGATTTTTCTACATCCTTCCATTTCCTCTTTCATTGTCTATTTTTTTTTTGTTGACGTACAATTCTTGTTAAACGTCATCATTGATGATCGCTTAATTCCTCTTTCTTTGTTACCCCCTCGCCTGTATATGTGTTGTTGTTACTCACTGTAAGGTTGTATGTTTACTCACTGTAAGGTTGTATGTGTTTGTTGCATTTGTAGATTGTTCGTAATCTAGGTGTTACCAGATCGTCTAGAAACTTCGGTAGCGACAGGCGAGGCTCATATAAATAGGGGAAAAGGAAAGGCAGTCAGTCAGTTGTGAATCAGATCGCGGATTGAAACAGTCATGTAACGTAAAGCTTTAAAGTAACATGCAAAGTAAAGTTGTGTCAATAAAATCATTGTAATACTCGTAATCAGAAAGAACCCGCGTTTTATTTAGTACGAACTGTATTGGGAAATAAAACAACGTCTACACGGGATTAAGTAAAATCCAAGAACGTAACAATATTATTTTATTTTATTTTCAAACCAAACTTCAAATTTCAGAAAAAACAATCCACACATTAATATCGACCATAAATTAAATTTGAGTGCCATTTAGTACCAAATTTCATGATTCGAGCTCTAAAGGTTCACCCAAATCCAAATTTTCTATTTAGCACACATTATTTCCATAAAAAAACTGCCTATATACCCCAATCCTGCACCCCCACAGTGATCCTAAATCCAAGTTTCAGGATTCTAACTCTATCGGTTCACCCACAATTCAAATTGTACAAAATTTAGTACACAGTATTACTTATTTACAAAACCTTCTTCCTACACCATGGTATAATAATAAAAGGTAACAGCAAGTGTTGTTGTACAACAAACGATACAACAACCACATGGAAATTTGTTGTTGTAAGTTCTACTAGTGTCAACTCATTTGACAGAAAAATGTAAACAAACAAACAAATTATCATCAAATTATTTTTATTTCGAAAATGGAATATTTTCGAATCCTCAAAATAAAAATTGAAAAACATGAATGAAAATCTATCAAATTTATATTTCTATCGCTTCCACATCTTTCCTTTAATTGAGCCATTGCCATATATATGTGTAACACATATGACAATGCTGGGAATAGCGAGTAATTTCTTCAAGAAAGATTTGCTTCCTCAAACTTTCCCAACAGGCAGATTGAGTATATTGAGCATATTTAATAAAGAACAATTTCGAATTGAATAAGCTCCCAATTTTCCTGTTGGGTGATTTTTAAAAACATAATTTGTCAAATGCATATTGACACTAGTATTACTTTGGAATCAAATCAGCTGGGATTTGCTGTTACCTTTTATAATTGTACCATGTTCCTACACCAAACCTACACTCCCAACACAATTCAAATTGTACAAAATTTAGTACACAGTAGTACTTATTTACAAAACCTCCTTCTTACACCAAACCTACACTCCCACAGTGATCCAAGTTTCAGGATTCCAACTCTGTTGGTTCACCCACAATTTAAATTGTACCAAATTTAGTACACAGTAGTACG